GACTGTCTACTTATCAATCAACTGATCGATCTGCCTAAATAATTAACCTGCTACCGAAAAAACAGTCAATACATTTACCAATTTGCTAATATTACGTGTTTCGGCACATCTTGCTTCTAAGGTTCAAACAGGCCTAGTATTTTCGTTATTTTTATCATATGCAATGAACCGATAACTCTTGAACCTCTAGGTCTAGTTAATCCAGTTATAAACTGGTATATATGCGTATATATCTATCCAGTAATCTTCTTTCGCATCCTTTTGTGTCAGTTTTACTATCTATCCATATCTATGCGTGTGCATGATGCGTAACGCCATCGATTCACACGGGGTTCTGGCATCTTATATTGCTTCTGATGGCCCATTGAACAGATCGCAGTGGGTCCCTGGTATTTTGGCAGTTTCGGTTTCTTCTACATCATCTATCTATACATAGATAGATAAACGCATCTACTAATAAATTTGTCTGTCTTTACAGCTATTCATGCACGCACTTATTTAGCTGTGTTTTGAATGAGTATTTGTCATGTCTCCACCCATCGATGCACCCACACAAAGCAACTAATTTCCCATATATATATATATAGAGCATTAAGACGTTTACTTTTTGTCTTATAGGGAGAAGTTGCCATTTAAGCAGGCTACTGGTCCGTGATATTTGAGAATCACCTATATATCGATGCATCCAGCATTTTCCTTGCCAGAGCAATACCATATGAACCAAGGACTTTCAAAGCACTGACAGTGATTACCTGACTTCACTGCAGTAACAATATCATAAACATGCTCAACAAATCGATTGAGAAAACTACGAATGCATTAATTGCTTTATGCATTACTAAACCCTACCTTGCATCTACCCGAAAATTCGAACAGACGATGAACGCGTGGTATTTGACCATCTACATTGCATGATGTCATCATATACACCGCTATCCATGAATCTAGCAATGTAGGTATCCGCTCATCATCTCATCAATGTATCTCCGTATCTTTCCATCCATCTCTATGCCTGTTTCTCTAACTATCAAACTACAAGGCCGCCCAACTTATCCAATCACAAGATTTAATGGCGTCTTGGATCGATCTCTTGCAAAGAATTGCTCATGAAGCCGCTTCTGCACATCATGGCTCCATTATATTAAAGTGATATGTTACGAAAGCCGATGTTCCGAGGAGTTGCGCATTAAGTTAACGTATTGCGGTATACGAACCTACAGATTGATAAATCTTTTATGCCTATATTTGTTTATCTGCGTTTCAATCAACTGACAACTCACCTTTCTATTTATCTGTCCTTAACTGTATTTCTTACCTACATCTGCATACCCGCAGTACTTTAGCCTATCCATAGATATCCATATAAAATCATCGGTACCTATTTCAATTTATGAGGCCCTCGACAATAACACATAGCCCTGGGAACACAGTAAACAAAAAACGGTCATCTCACCGTCAGCGCATCGGAAATGCAGTACACAAAGCGCATAATTGACATGAACATTTTGGCAGGTGTATTCCGTGGAGTCGAAGAGACAAATGTGGTCCGACGATGGAGCCGTCCTTCTATGAAGGGCTGAGGCTAACAGCAGTGGTCTTCTTTATATGATTCACAAATCGGTGACAGGAATGCGTGATATCGTACGAAATAAGTTATGACATGATTTAGGACGACGATGCGCAAC